GTGTGTGTGTGTGTGTGTGTGTGTGTGTGTGTGTGTGTGTGTGTGTGTGTGTGTGTGTGTGTGTGTGTGTGTGTGTGTGTGTGTGTGTGTGTGTGTGTGTGTGTGTGTGTGTGTGTGTGTGTGTGTGTGTGTGTGAAGAGGGGCGAAAGAGAGCAAGCGAGCAAGGGAAGGCGAGAGAGCGAGAGATACCACTGACTAACAACACTGGTCACACAACACTAAAGATAAACTCAAGAAACAAGTATGAAGATACTCAATGTATGTATCGGCATATGTACATGCCCGATTTATCGGTAAGCTTGGGACACACTAGACGATTTTTCAGGCGATTGAGTTTGGCGACTGAATCGGACGACTGAGTGGACACACTAGGCGATTTTCAGCGCGATTCATCGGCGATTTTTCTCCCGCTGCAACACTAAAACACTCGCGCCACCTAGATTGATAGTCACATGATTGAAAATCGCACCGTTTGATTGGCTGATGAATTATCCGGGTCGGCGACTCATTCGCCGACCCGGACACACTAGGCGATTGTAGTCGCGCGACTCAAATAATCGCCGATTTTTTCAAACATGTTTGATTCGAAAATCCTCGGCGACTCACTGGACACACTAGGCGATTTTCACCGGCGATTGAGTCGGGGGTTTTTCTAAACTACTAAAATAATAAAATAATTCGCGTCACCCTGTCCCACTTCCGCACGCCAATGCCACGGATGTTCTATTTACAGGGACGCGCCCCTAATATGAAGCCGCTCGAGGCGGCGGCTCGTACTATCGCGCGTGCCGTGCAAAGTGGGAGTAAGATCATAGTAGAGAAGAGCACCGTACCGGTTCACGCATCGGAGACCATCCGCAACATACTAGAGGCCAACATGAACCCCGGCTGTTCCTTCCAGGTGAGTGTTCACGTATGTGTTGTAAAGGTCCAGTCTACTATAATCCCCCCCCCTCTTTCCCAGCCATAATGATGCAGTTAGAGTTTGAGTGTTTGAGTTTGAGTGTTAGAGTTTGCTTCAGATCAAGGGGGTTAGCGTTAGGGTGATTAACTAAGGTTATGCTAAGTGTTGGGTTTTTGCTTAGGGAGAAGTTGATGGTGATGACGATGACGATGATGACGATGATAATGATGACGATGATGATGATGACGATTATGAAAATGATGATGATGAGGATGATGTTGATGATGATGATGATGATGATGATGATGATGATGATGATGATGATGATGATGATGATGATGATGATATAGGCCTCGGCCGCATTAGAAAAGTGATTACAGTGCCAACCAAAACCTAAGCCACTCGTTTTGGATGAGTGTTTGCGCATGAGTGGTTATAAAACTGATTGAGTGGCAGAAGATCATGTGCTGAGTAAAGACTTCGAGCAACGCGGGTTGTAGCAGCAACCGCAACAGCCGCAGGAGTAGCATCAGCAGCGACAACAGCAGTAAAGCATCATTATCATCATTATTATCATCATCATCATCATCAGCAGCAGCATCAGCATCATCATCATCATCATCATCATCATCATCATCATCATCATCATCATCATTAGAAACAGAAGCAGAAACAGAAGCAGAAACAGCTGAAACAACAACAGCATCAACAATCAACATCAATAACAGCAGCAGCAGCAACACTAGCAACAGCAGCGGCAGCACCACCAGCAGCAGCAGCACCACCGCCACCACCAGCAGCAGCAGCAGCACCACCACCAGCAGCAGCAGCGTTCACGGGCGATATGTCGCGCTGCGATCAGAATCACGTCTACAGAGTTCACTGTCCCATATCGCCTGCCTGCATGTGCGTGGCGCGGACGCGAAATTATTTTGCCCACTTGAGTTCCGGATACACCATAGATAGTGTTTGGTAAGGGCCCAGTCACACCAGAGCTACGCTCATCACGATCGCCCCGTCCTCCAAAAATTTGCCCGAGCGTGGTGAGCGTGGTTGAGAGCGTGGCCAATTGGGCCCCAGCCGGGCCCAGCGCCGATACTACGATCTAATTACGTCCATACTACGATCTAAGTGCGTCTTTACCCCGATCTCATTGCGCTCAACAAGCTTTCACCACGCTCAACACCACGCCCGCATCACGCTTACACTGCGCTCACTGCTTATTTATTGCGACCAATCAGATCGCATTGTGTTCGAACGACGCTTGCACTGCGCCTAAGCAACGCTCACCGCGCCGCGCCAGTCACGCTTCTAGTG